TAACCCAAATGTAGCGCTCTCTTGTGAATGGCGTCAGGCGCCCTATCTACTCTACAGCCTAGCCTACAACTACAGCAATGAAAGCAACCAGACAACTTGACTACCAGCGAGTGATGATGTCAACACCAATGCCGACCTCCACCTCCACCAGGTAYGTGTCCTCTTCACCCACACTCTTCCCTGTTACCCACRCAGCGCCCTTCACCTCCGAAGACCACCTTCACCCCTCACCTCTCCTGCGCCCTCATGCGGCCCGGCTATGGCCGCCAGTGCCTTGCATGCAGGCAGCGCCCTACCGCCTAGCGCTAGCCTGCTTCACCTTAGCSCAGCGCAGCTCTKCACAGCGCAGCACACAYGCATCCGCGCAGCGTGCCCGCAATGCCCGCATTGGCCAAGATCCCTGCCCACTCGCCCTGCTTGCCTATATGCCAGTGCAGCGTGTGGGCGGCCTCCCTTCAGCCTGYGACCGGGRCCCAGAGGCTGAACCCAGCCCGATACAGTTGGGCCCCGGGGCAATGCAGTTGCGCCTCCTTCATCAAGGCCTGCGGCCAGATTCAGATAGTGGGCCGATTTCCCTTTGGCATTTTCGGCCTCTATACCCAGCATGCATTGTCGGCCTCACGTTCGAGTGCCCAGGGCCTAACTAACTCAGAGGCCCTGGGCTTTCAGCATTTGCTGAAATCCGAGACTCGGTGCACTCCAACCAACTGGCGTGCTGCAACTGTATGGACCCCACTTCGTGAAATGTTGGCACAGAGGGCTCTTGTTGATTTGCTGGCCCGCCTTCACTTAGGGCGGGCACGAGGCTTGCTGGGGCCTTAGCCCAGAACATGTACATCATGGCAAGGCCCCTACTTGAGGGCTCGTTCCTCACAATTAGCACCTTCACACTTCCTTCCGCCGAAGCACCCCTGAACAGTGAACAGCATTGATTGCTCCATCTTTCCAGGAGGATTGACTGTCACCTTGTCTTTCTGACAAATTCCTCCCAGGTCATATCATTAAACCTGCCAGCTATTTTTTTCTTTTAAAAACAAGAATCATAAGACATGGTGTGCCCTTTCGGAAGTAATCAATGCCGCCCACTCGGGTCTCCCAACGAGAATGCGGAGAATCATATCTTACTATCTTCTTCTTCTTCTTCCTCCTCCTCTTCTTCTTCTTCTTCTTCTTTTTACGCTGTCTTCTCCTCATCGGGGGGACAGCTCGTAAATTTTCTGTCGATGTTTTTCACCCCTTCAAACCATTGACTCCGTCTTGCACGACCAGCGAACAGACCCCGCGGGGTACTGCTAGCGAGTTCTATCAAGTGTGCCAAATATGTAATTATTTGACTTGCCGGGGGAAAAGGAACCGGACTGACGCTCCCCAGAATGGATTATGGAGCCAGAACCGCAAGGTTCTGTTTGTTAAAACAATAAATAGAAAAGGGTCCGCCCGGACTCCACCCTCGGTGTCTGCCCTTGGTCGGCATTGCCACCCATTGCTGACTCAGACGTTGCTGTAGGCTCCATCCCTGTTCGTTGCGATCGTAAGGGGCGCTGGGGTCTCTCTCTTCGACTGCTCTGACTTCCACATGCTGACTCTGAGTCATGCCATTCTTTCCATTGCAACCTCATGTCGTGAGTGTGTGGCACCTTGCCTCTTGCGAACCAGATTGTCTTGCAGTTCGTCAACCATACTTGTTCAGTTTTGAATTGCATATTTGAGTCGATTCCATTTGCGTAGGATTTCCGCCTCAATCATACTCCTCGTAGACATCCCGAGTTTGTCATGTTCATCGACTCAGACCTTGATGCGTTCATGAAACTTTATTCATGCATTTAGCTTTATTAATTCACTGATTAAGTCCCCATCGAAGCGTGCACATACCCACCCATCAAACCCCACATCCATCCACTCACACTATTCATCCGTACATCCATCCACCTACCATACGGCCACTAAGCCACCCCCCATTCACCCACCCCTCACAATTTTGTTTTTATTGATTAACCACCAGTACTTCCGAAAGTCGTGCCCGTTAACAAGCCATGGTTTTAGGAAATGTACGGGCCACTACAGGAGCGCCCAAATTCATCGGAGTAGAAACGTTTCTACTCAATAGTTTTTTTTTCCGCGGCCAATAGCTGGGCGAAGTGCTGGTGGTTTAAGTTTCATACCTGGCCACCTTTCCATGTCACTGTTCCTTCACCTGGTCCTCCTTCTGCACGTTTGTCTGTGCCTTGGTCCATCCCTTCATGGATCTGTCCCTCCATTTTCTTGATTCTCCTCTCTTGCTCGCTAGCTCCCAAATCCAACCCACTCAACCGACTCATTCGCTTACTCTTTAAACCACCAGTACACACCATACATCAGCCGTGGGCCCATTACGGAGGCTGGAAACGTGACAAAGGCCGCCGATGGAATTTATCAACGGTGGCCAGGCCCTGACTTTTTCAGATGGGCGACAAGTACTCTTTCAGCAAGGCTGGGGCCATGTACTGGTGGTCTAAAGGAAGAGACGAGGGGGAAGGGGGGGGAGGAGGGGAGGAGCAGAACAGGTCCTGCAGGGACCATCGGTCTGGTTCTTATTCCATGGGCAAGTCATAAAGAAACATAATATACCCACTGTTGATGCATCCCCACGTTACACCTTGCGGATCCCTGAAAGCGCTGATTAATTCTTTAAGAAGGGTTGCCTGTAGTTAAGCCCACACTTCAGAACATAACCTACCATCTATAATGAGTATTCTACTATTCGCTGAAATGTACCATTTTAAATAGCATCAAAACTAGGATACCCCCGCCGGGCATACTTCCTTGTGCAAGCCAGCCAGCCAACCAGCAAGCCAGCCTGCCACCAGCCACGAAGCTAGCCTGCCTGCCTGCCGGCCGGCTAGGCAGCCAGCGGAGCAGCCAGCTCAGCAGCCAGTAGGCCAGCCAGGCACTCAAGCAGGAAGCCAGGAAGGCACAGGCAGGCAGGCAGGCAGGCAGGCAGGGAGGCAGGCAGGGAGGCAGGCAGGCGGCCAGCCAGCCAGCAAGGCCGGCAGGTAAGCAGACAGGCAGGGAGGCCGGGAGGCAGGGTGGGAGCCAAGCAGGCAGCCTGGAAGCCAGTGAGCCATGAAGCCAGCCAGCAAGACGCCCAGACAGACAGACAGACAGACAGACACAGGGCCAGAGAGATGAATACACACAGAGATGGAGAGATGGACACCGAGACTAACACAGAGACGGACACAGAGATGCACAGAGAGAGGAACAGAGAGACAGCGAGGAGATAAAAGGATCGATGGGCAGAGAATAAGATGGACAGACGGACGGACAGACGGACAGACGGACGGACGGACGGACAGACAGTGGACAGAGGCAGACAGATAGACAGACCATACAAACAGGCAGGCAGGCTGACCGGCTAAACCAACCGACCGACTGACCGACTGACCGATCAACCGAGAGAGAGAGAGAGAGAGAGAGAGAGAGAGAGAGAGAGAGAGAGAGAGAGAGAGAGAGAGAGAGAGAGAGAGAGAGAGAGAGAGAGANGAGAGAGAGAGAGAGAGAGAGAGAGAGAGAGAGAGAGAGAGAGAGAGAGAGAGAGAGAGGTAGGTAGGTTATCTTCATCTTCAGTATTGAACAGCCACTGCATTTCTGCCTCGATGCATTTTATTTGTAACGTTTGTTTTCACACTTGAAGTCCATTCTTTCCCAACTGGAAGCTCTCTCATCTCTCACCTCCACCTACTCCCAAACCTCTGCTTATATTGTGAGCAGGTTACTTTTCTTCATGCATGGTATGTATGTTTCTCCTATCCTCCCTCGATCAGGTATGGCCTCAATATCACATAGGTCCATCTTCTGCTGGTCATACCTTTTCTTTCCATTCTCTTGTTTGTGTGAAGATTTATGCTTTGTTATAATCGTTCCATGTCCACATAACTCAGTTAATCCTCATTCTCGTAGAATCTTTATGTACTTGGCTCAAAACTGCCATGCGATGTAGTATGTACATTTTTGTCGGAATCTGACTGTATTTGACTTAAGACATGCTACACCCCTCAGCTTCTCCGTAGATGCTCTATCGCTCTGCTAGCGGCTGCTTGACTCAACTCACTTGTCAGAAATGCCTATGTATCACGCACTAGCCAGAAAAGCCTATGTATTAGGTTTGGACTCTTTAGGAGGAACATTGTAGCATGTTCAGGACCCAGCGCATGTGGATGAATGTTACACAGGTACTACACGCATGTAGGCAGATCAGGAGTTCGAGTCCTGTTCAGGTCGAACGGATACAATACAGTTGGGCCTAAGCCCTTCGTTTGAAAAAAAAAATGAAAAAAATGAAAAAAAGAAGAAGAAGAAGAGAAGCATATTCAGGAATGCTGGCTGCTGGTAACAGATTGATTCTTTTTGTTTTTTTCGTTTCGTTTTCTAAACTTTTTTTCGTTTTGTTTTTTTCGTTTCGTTTTTTTTTTCGTTTCTAGCACTGGCTAGTAATTTCTACCAAGTGGTTAGAACTTAGAAGCAACTAAGATCAGGGTCCTCAAGTTTTGCAGACAAAGAAAGCCTCAGAAAGGCGTAAAGCAGAAAAGTTGAGAAAATACCTCAAAGAGTCAAAACAGCTTCCATTTTCGTCGAGAAAGGGATGGGATGGAAAGATTTCTGAAATGCAACAATCAAAGAATGAAAATTTGGTTTTAGAGATTTTAGAGATTTTGACTCCAATCTAGAGAACTTTGGACTAGGTCACTCGCTTATGGCTATGGCACAAATTCCTCTTTTTCGTCAAAAGACAGAGCGCCAGAATTTACCTGAATTACTTTTTTTTTTCGTTTTCTTTTTTTTTAACAGGGCGACGGTCTTTAGATATCATCATCGAACTGACCGGCCCCAGGCAATTCAGAATGATTTTATTGAAAATTTGTTCTCTTCATCTGAGGGAGGGTATCTGGATTCGAACTTGAGTCTGTATTTTGAGAAAGAATGAAAAACTGTTGACAATATAGTAATATATGTCATTGCAGAGGGAAATGGGAGATGGCAGTTAAGAATTCAATAAGCTGGAGGATGGCTCAGGCGTTTCATCGCTGGAAAATTGAAGCAGGCACGGAAAAGGAAGAACGGGAGGAGGCAGAACAAGCGCTCCTGGAGCGTGTTTCTGAGATTATCCAAACACTGTACAAGAAAATTGCATGGTCAGCATGGAGGCAGGCCCATGTGGTCGCCGCATTCCGCAGAGCATGGCAGCAGAAGACTCTGCTTTCTTTATGGAAAAAGGTGGTGTCTCTGCCTCAAAAATCTGCTGCACTTGAAAGTCAAACCACTCAAAAGAGTCAACAAAAACTGTTCTTCAACTGTTTGGTGCCAAAACTGTGGAAGAGCCCCTGCAGTGTTCTCTTAACTAGTTGGAACTTGTTTCTTCTTAAGTTCTAACTATACCATCTTCACCCGAATAGAACACCCGGTCATAATGGCTGCATCTGGACTGAAAGTTGCCCCCAATACGGCTATAATGACCGGGCGTTCTATTCGGGTGAAGACGGTAGTTGTTCTCACTGGTTGTGGTTCAAACTAGTGGCTCTTACTGGTTGTGGTTCAAGCTACCGTCTTCACCCGAATAGAACGCCCGGTCAGCCCAGATACGGCAATAATTACCGGGCGTTCTATTCGGGTGAAGATGGTAGTGGCTCTTACTGATTGTTCAAACTAGTTAGTAATGCTAACGGTAGTTATTCAAAACTATTGTTTAACTACTACCTTCTTCCCCCGAATACAACGTAGTACGACCATTATAGCTGTATCGAGACTGAAAGATGCCTCAAATACAGCTATAATGACCATACGTTGTGTTCGGGGGAAGAAGGTAGTTGAACTAGCAGTTTTCCCAAACTCCTAAAAAGTCGGCGGCTGGGCCCGACGACGGCTGCCGTTGAAAAATCTCATCGGCGGCCATTGTTTCGTTTCGGCCTCCTTAAAGATCGGAGGCCCACCCGAGGCTCCCTATTTTCCCAACCGTCAAAGGTACTACCTTCTTCCCCCGAATACAATGTATGGTCATTATATCTGTATCTAGACTGGAATGCCCCAAATACAGCTATAATGACCGTACGTTGTATTCAGGGCAAGAAGGTAGTGGTTAAAACTTAAAACCTAAGTGTTTCTAGCTGTTCTAAACTTCTAACTAGTTGTCTCTGTTGCTCTAACTAAATTGCCTTCCTCCTAAAAACAGTTCAAACTTCAAACCCCTTTCTCCTAAAAACAAACTCGTCAACAAGGAACTCTTGACGAAAGCTCGGCCTACCGGATCCAAGAGGGGGTTACCGGGAAGGTGCGCTCAATTCTGAGGCCCCCAACTTTGGCGGTTTTTTATTTTGATTTGTAGGGACAGAAATTCTGGAAAGAATCAGGGATGTAAAATAGGCCACGCCGCATCAAAGAGGAAAAAAAATCCATAATAAACAAAACTGGTTATGGAACTTATGGCACGGAAGAATATCCAGTCCAAACTGAATGCATATTTCAATCAAAGTCTTTGTCGCTCAAATGGGAGCGACGTTTCATGCTGGGTGGGCAGGCCCGGGAGGTCCTTTTGTTTTTTTCAAGTTCGCACAAATAGGCTTGGTGGAACCGGTGGTTCAAACTTCAAACCTATAGCAAGAAAACTTGAAAAAAGATGAGAGTCGAATGTTGAAGCTGACGGTTAAGGATCATTAGCTAGATGCAATTTGTTACAAAGGATATATGTCTCTTGACTCTCTTGACTCTCTTCCCCTCATGCTCAAAGCTTAGGTAACTGATTGTTACATCATCATAGTCATTTACTGTGATTATTAAAACTTATTGGTCTGTGCATTTCCTGAATAACATCTGTGTCACTCTTTTTCTGACCACGTTCGGCGTGCGTTCAAGGCTGTCCACCTTTCCAAACAGCGTTGAAAATCTGGCCGCAGTTTAGAATGCATTTGAGGCTGTCCATGTTCCAAAAGAGAGTTCTTGTTTGCCTTCTTCTTTTTCTGTTTAATCAGAAATGACAGAAAACCTTTATATTGAAAAATAGGTTTGAGGCCCGGGAGCTCACAATTTGACCCCGGGGTTATTTATCCTGGGAGCATTACCCAGTAACTTCAGTTTACGACCCTTTGCCCGCCGACGCTGAACCTATTCTTGCCTATCCATCTCAGTGACCATCTATGGTCCCTAAGTTATAGCCTTCTATGCCCCCCTTAGCGGCTTACAGCTGCCTGATAATCTTGGTTTCCCAGGGCCATGAGGCCAATCTTGATAATCCACCTACCCCTTTTACCAGCCTCTTGCGTGGCTAACCATGAAGTCGGGGTCTTTTTTTTCTTTTTCTTTTTTTTTGAACCTCTTGTTGGGAGGATTCCACTTGAGAAGGTGATAAAAACATATCACCTTCTCAAGTGGCTCCCCTACTGGAGGGTTCCATCTATTAGTGGGGAGCAGCACTTGCGGAAGTCCGGGTCCTTAATCCCTGATCCCTATCGTGCAAGACAGCTAAGTGTGAAGGCGTGCTCTTAAACGCTAACCCTTGTTCTTTAATCCCTGAACCTTATCTTGCTTCTTTGTCTTATTGAATCAAATTTAATAAATCCTGCCTTAACCTTATCTTGCTTCGTTGTCTTATTGAATCAAATTTAATAAATCCTGCCTTTTTTTTCCCATTTTGTTTACGGACCATTGCTCTATTCGTGTGTGTCGTCCTTGGGGTGCAGGGGCCATACTCATCTTCTCGGTATCATTCATTATATCATCGCAGTTTGAATGGATGAGTGCAAGAACTAATCAAACCTAACGTTAATTTTGCAAGTGGTGTGTTAAGTTACTGTTATAGTCAGACCTTGAAACCTCTTCTTTGTTCTGTGTGCGTGTATTCAATACCATCCAGCAAAACAGTAGTGAGGTAGAGTGCTACTTTCTACATCTCTTGCTCTGATGGCCCATGCTGTGAGCTGTGAAACATCCAAGTGTGGACCTTCGTGCAGTTTTGGTACGCGCATCTGATTATTGACAGGTTGTCTATATATTTCAATGCAGATTTGTTGTATCGCTCATCAATTGATGGAGAACTTCAACTTGCTTTGTTAACTGCAGGCAGTTTACATTATGAAAGAGGATTGGGCATGGGCAAGGGAGGTGAAACAGCAGAGGATTGTTAAGGGAGCTTACTTGGCATGGAAATGTAAGGCACAAGAGTGGAGGGATATCAGACTACTCAAGGAAATACACGGCATGAAAATCGCATCCCTTCAAAATGATAGGTCAGCCTGACTCAGGACACCAAGCGATAGCAACTCAGTCGTAAATAATGTGTCGATGCTATCATTCTGTGCTTCCTGCTGACGCCTCCTCCTCCTCCTCCCTTTTCTTCTTCTTCTTCTTCTTCTTCTTCTTCTTCTTCTTCTTCCTTCTCCATCACGTCCTCACCCTCCTTCCTTCTCTTCCCTCCCTCTATTCC